TCCTTTCTTGTGTCATGACTGGCTGTTGTACTCAGCAACGCTTCTTTATGAGCAAGAGGAATGTGCCTGTACTGGGACATGAGACCTGCTGTGGGAATACTCCACTCGTATCCTCTTAATAGCTTGAACCTCTAGTATTAAGAGCTCCGCTACCCACAGCCAATTGGTTGATCATCCTCCCTGTATTCCCAATCATAATTTTCTTCAGATTCTCTTACTCATGTATCCAGATCCACTGGTTCCCTCGATCACACACTGGGAAGCGCTGTGGTCTACTAGTAAGAGGTTGATACTGGCCACTCTTGGAGACAGGACAGTGGGCTAGATAGACCACGGGTTTGATCTAGTCTTCCAATTGCTAGCATTGTTAGTCTTTGGGTTCTCTTCCAAATCCTGCCACTAACTTGCTGTGTTATGGACAAGTTGCTAAACTTTGCCCGGTTTACCCTACTATAAGTTACTTGCATCCCTTGCAGGTGAGTTGTGAAGCTTGGCAACTGATTATCTGTAAAGTGCTCTGAGAGCCTTCACTTAAAGGAGTTATGCAAGTGCTATGTTACAGTTTTGATGTTTGCTTGCGTTGGCAGTGCCAATGAATGCTGATGGTGGCACATGCGTTATTGACACATGAGGGCAAAGCTTTTACTGTGCTTTCCTTGAAGCATTCCAGGGGGACGTGGCTGGATTGACGTGGGGAAAACCCACTGTAAATAGCTTACAGCATGGTCTAAGGCAGGGGTCGGCAACCTCTGGCATGCGGCTCGCCAGGGTAAGCACCAGGGCAGGTTTGTTTACCTGCCGCATCCACAGGTTCGGCCAATCGCGGCTCCCACTGGCCGCGGTTCGCTGCTCCAGGCCAATGGGAGCTGCTGGAAGCCGCGGCCAGCACATCCCTCGGCCCGCGCCGCTTCCTGCAGCCCCCATTGGCCTGGAGCGGTGAACCGCGGCCAGTGGGAGCCGTGATCGTCTGATCCTGCGGACGCGGCAGGTAAACAAACCTGTGCGGCCCACCAGGGTGCTTACCCTGGCGAGCCGCGTGCCAGAGGTTGCCGACCCCTGGTCTAAGGAATCGTGCATAGGACTGGAACTTGAGACTTGGGTTCCAATCCACTCTGCCACTGACCTGCTGTGTGACCTTGGGCAAGTTCCCCTTCTGTGCCTCCCACCCTTTTGTCTTGTCTATTTCAACGATATGCTCTTCAAGTTTAAGGCAGTCTCTTGTAATGGATACATATATTTCTTAGCACGATGGGGTCTCTATCTTGATTGGTTACCTCTAGTCACTACTGTAATACAAATAACTAGTGCCTATACTGGGTCCTGACTTGCTTACTGTGACAAGGACAGGATTTGACCCAATGTATTATACTCTCAACTTAAAATAAAGCAGCACTATCTGAGGTTTACCAGTATGGAGCACACAAGACTTGAGTTGGCATTGAACTGGTGAGCTAGAGAGGAAAGGCTCCCTAGACAATTACCAGTCCCTTAAGCCCCATTGCACTTCCCCCATCTCTCCAATTGATGTTTCGCCACTATTTTCCTCCTCGTCCAACTGGTAAGTAGCCTCCAAGAGTGAAAACTACTCTTCTGTGTCAATTGGCTAGTGAGTGGTTGTAAAGTGATCATTCCCCTCTATTCGACATTGGTGAGGCCTCATCTGGAGTACTGTGTCCAGTTTTGGGCCCCACAGTACAAGAAGGAAAAATTGGAAAGAGTCCAGCGGAGGCCAACAAAAATGATTAGGGGGCTGGAGCACATGACTTATGAGGAGAGGCTGAGGGAACTGGGATTGTTTAGTTTGCAGAAGAGAAGAATGAGGGGGGATTTGATAGCAGCCTTCAACTACCTGAAGGGGGGTTCCAAAGAGGATGGATCTAGACTGTTCTCAGTGGTGGCAGATGACAGAACAAGAAGCAATGGTCTCAAGTTGCAGTGGGGGAGGTTTATGTTGGATATTAGGAAAAACTTTTTCACTAGGAGGGTGGTGAAGCACTGGAATGGGTTACCTAGGGAGCTGGTGGAATCTCCTTCCTTAGAGGTTTTTAAGGTCAGGCTTGACAAAGCCCCGGCTGGGATGATTTATTTGGGGATTGGTCCTGCTTTGAGCAGGGGGTTGGAGTAGATGACCTTCTGAGGTCCCTTCCAACCCTGATATTCTATGAAAGTACTCTGACAATGGATCCACACCCTGCTCATTCCACTCCTCTAGCCACTACTATAGTTTTCACCATCTTGTGATGTTGTGATATAACATCACGTTGTGTGGGACATCCGGCTCTGATGCAGTGTCATGTGACGAAGTTGCAATGTTGTCTTGTGATAGCGTGCAAAGTCAGACCGAACTGAGGTCTGCAATCTGTCCAAGGCTTGCTAGCAAGAAACTGGACGGCGCCATGAACATCCAATTCCTTCCAGGAAATTCAGGATGCATGGTAATGCTAACTGAACCCCAAATCTGTCATGTCCCAAGAAGTACCTGACTCCTCTTGTTTTGAGGAGTCAACCTACAGCTAATTCCTGAGTACTGTGGTGACTGCCAAGATTCTAGCCTGGCTCAAGCCACTCTCCGCACTTCATAATGAGGTTTGAGAGAGTTTTAACATCTTGGTGTTGGCAAGAACCACGATTTGAAATTGCTGTGTACTTGGAGACGAGCTGGCTCTGGGCACTGGTAATGGGACAGAGGCTTTCATCTCCAGATCAAATACAGCTGAGTTGTTAGTGACAAAGTCGTGATCTTCTGACTGCTGGTTCAGGGCTTAAGCCAGGCAAGATGGGCTTTGGGCTGCCAGTACCAGACTCTGAGTCAGGAGGCCTCGGTTCTGTTCCTGACTCTGCAAAAGATGTTCTAGGAGACCCTTAATAAGGCATTTAATGTCGCTGTGCCTTAATTTTGTCATCTGTAAAATAGGACTGCGGGCCTATCTAGAGGTTAGGCTTGGTGAGAGGCTTATCTCCTTATTGATACCTGTGGATGGGAAGTGCTGTAGAAGTGTGAAGAACTAGGTGAAGTTACTTGGCTCTGTTCAGCCCCGATTAGACAAACTTCTCGCTCATAGTTGGCATGCTTGCTGGCAATTCAGCGGCGAGGCCAAGGACTGAATGGTCCAGGGAGACTGAATTATTCTCCCAGGTCAGGGTTGTGGCATGTTGGTGAGGGAACTTGTGCTACTGCTGCTCACGCAGTGCCTGTCCTGTGGATAAATGGAGAAAACTTGTCCGTCTCCAGAGTGGGCAATCGGCATAAATATCGCTTACGTGCTTAGAGTAGCGGAGACCCCAACTTGTGTTCAGTAAACGAAGGGGCACCCCTTGCTGGTATGCTTGCATTACGGCTGGTGTTAACAAATTAACTTTACCATTTGTATTGCAAGAGCTTTTCTGATCTGATCCCACACTGAGACCTATAGGAATCCAGGTTGGTTCTCATTATTTAGTGCTCCATTTGGTGACATAAGCTCTTCTTGGTTCACCTTTCTTCCATGCTCAAGCATACAGTTCATCCTCCAATCATGATCATACCAAAAGTGCAAGGGACTTGCTTCCAATGCCGGATTGTCTATTTAATCAATTCCAGCTCTTGTTCTAAGGCAGAGATCCCCCTCATCCCAGCAGAGGGCAGCCCATGCCAATAGAGGGAGACTGCACGTTCCTTCTGAGAATCACTTTCTCTGTAACTGGCCCTGGGTAGTGCAGTACACTAGAGTAATACTGGGCTTGGTGACAGAGCTCCACCTACTGGCGTTTCTAGATATTGCAAGTCACAGGCGGTTCCTGATGGAATGCTGTACGTTTTAAGTCTGTCACATGGTGTAAGTTTCCCTAAAAGAATCATAAAGCCACAATGCAGAGTTCCTTAGTCGTCCCCCCCCCCTTCAGTCTCTCCTCCTACTGGCCACGCCCCGGTTCATTGTATCGGAGTATAAATGTGAGAGCAAGTTTATAGAGTATAACTTTTACACATGTTAAAACCTTCCACGGTGTTCTCCTGAAGCTTCTTAAAGAGTGACAACAATTACTCCAGCTAACGCAGGGAAACCTAATTTGCTGGAGATAATATATATATATATATATATATATATATATTTATTTATTTTTGACCGGGCCAAATTTTCAAAAAAGAAGCTCAGGATTTGCATGTAGTTGCATATATAAATTTGCCTGTGGCAATAACATGATTGCACATGTGTGTCAGGCGATGGTGTGTGCAAATCACTAATTGTGCATACAAATGGCTATCAAGACTATCACCAAATATATGCACTATGATTTGTATTGTAATAGTGCCTAGATGTCCCTACTGAGATCAAGGCCCTGTTATGTTAGGTGCTGTGAGAGAGAACCTGCCCCAAAGAGCTGCTTATAGATAACACCTCCTTTCTTTGTCTTATCCCCATTTAACAGATGAGAAACTGAGGCACAGATTAAATGAGGTCACAAAGGGAGTCAATGGCAGAGCCAGGAATTGAGCCCAAATTTCCTGGATCGCATTCTGGTGTTCTAACCACAAGATGATCCTTGCTCATTTTGGTGTGTGCAGTCATGCTAATTGTATGTCCCAGTGTCGATACACAATTTGTGTGTCCTATCTTTGGCCTCCCTTGTTGCAAACTGATCCTCTGATATTATGGTATGGAGAAATGTAATGTATATGTGGGACTGTGTTTTAGTGAATATCTACCAAAAAAAAGGAAGAGGAGTTCTGGGAAATATTGGGTTTGGCGCATGGGGAGTTAAATACACATGCGCTTCTCTTGATCCCTCACCCATTCACGAGCAAAGCCATTGAGTTCAGCAGCGAGTAAGCACAGCAGGATCAAACCCACAACGTGCCGATTCCCTCACCCAAACCCACCTGGCAACTTTGTATGTTGTTGGATGTTGGGATAGTCCCATGCGTGGGAAGAAATGGCCCCTCTGTACAGAATGGGTCAAACTGGCAGTGATGCTCTGCAGGGTGGAGAGGTGCAGTTTGCTGACTTCTCGTTTTGTGTTAGTTACAGGACTCTTATCAGGCCCACGTACAAAATGTCTTACCGAACGGTGACCACCCTGGAGTGGAGGTGCTGTCCTGGGTTCACAGGGAGTAACTGCGAAGAGGGTAAGTCAACTGGAAATCTGTATCTCTTCCCACAGAGTCTTGGTGGGACAGGAGGAATTGGGTTTGGGTGAGTTTATTTTGGCTGAGTTGCTTTTCATTTCCTTAGTTCACCATATGTGGGGTGTTTTTGTTTCTTTCCCCCTTCCAAAAAAACTCCATTAATGTTAATATGAAACCCAAACACAAATTTTTGTATTGCAAGCCAAGTTCTAAAAGGAGAGCATGGCAGGTGAGTCTGGAAGCCATGTGTATGCCAAGTGCGCTTTCAGAAACCTGCAATGGGTAGCAGAGTACCCAGCTGTGACTTGGGCATGGAAGTTTGCTGCTGGTGGATGGCAGTGATGAATTTTTGGTTTGATGCTCCCATTGTGCTCTCCTTCAGAAAACATGAATCCTGCATGCAAGCTTGTCTCATTAGGGGAAATGTCCTTCATGTTAAATGCAGACCTCTTTCCCCCATGTCCCACATGTATTTTGAGATGTATCTCCATTTTATTACCATCGATTACGGAGGTCAATGAAATTGAATCATGAACCACCACTTATAGGCTATTAAGTTTATGCTAAAGAAATTGAATCATTCATCTTCTAGAGCTTCTTTATTACTGTGTGTTCCATATTTAAGCCTGGGAAGGTTAAGAGGTAGACCTGTCTATCCAAAACAAAGCTGTGTCCCCAGAGACTTAGTAACTGAAATTACTCACTGTCCTCACTACATGTGGATAATTTTTAGCTTATACCATACACAGCACAATTCAGAGTTTCTGCATTTGACATCAGATCTGTCACATTCAAGAAAATTCGTTCCATTTTTTTTTCCAAAGGAAGAAAGGAAAAGGTTTTCCTTTTTCTCACCTCAACTGAAGAGGAATGTGATTTTTCTCCTTCACTTTCTTTAGCTTATCTGCAGTCTCCAGGGTTTATGAATGTGCTGAGCTTACGCATGTCGTATCTCTGATACAGGATCATCAAAACTCGAGTCTTGCTATGAACGTTGTGTGGACACAAGTGGGGAAAGGCAGACTGGGTAACCTGGGCCCTGGATTGACATGTAATTAAGGTTGGGATTGGAGTGAGGGCCATTGGCTGTCAAACGAGGAGTTATCCAGGAGTGTTCAGTTCATCTCAGACCAGGCATTCTGTGACCATGTCCCGCCACAGGCAGCCCTGGTTTGTTTGTGCCATTAGGTCATGGCATTAAGCACACCACAGGACACTCAAGAGAATCTGTAAACTATAAATTGTCCTGTGAAAGTTGCAGTAAACGGAGAGCGTGCTCCTAAGCGGGTCACTTTGTTGCTGTGGAAATAGTAGCCTCCCAAACCTCATGGAAATCTAAAGCTACCACAAATCAAGCCCTGCAGCTCGGCTTCTCGTTTCAGCAAGGTACTGAAGAGAATGAGTCAGAAAGAGAGAAGGCCTGGAATGCAGTGAAATAATGGCCAAAGGTCAGTTTGGTTTCTTAACTGTTGAATGGTGGCATGGAAGTTTATGCTAGACGTGGCAAAGGACCAGTTATTGGCAACACACCCAGCAACGAAGGTTCAGCCTGGTACAGAGTTCAAATTGAGCTGAGCAGCCCCTCAGTAGATCTGCACAGATGTAAGTGATTACAGCTTCGTAAGTAATTCCATAGATGTAAAAAAGAACCCTTCTCCATTCCTCTCTGCCGTATCTGTCTCGGGAGAGTTAACGGGCGTAGAAAGCCATAGACGCTTGTTTGAGAGTCAGCAAATAAGACTGAATACTCATGGGAGCAGGTCTGTTGAACGAGGTGACAATTTTATGTAGCCACTTCTCAGTGTAGAATGTCCCTTTCAGGCTTAGATACAGTGTTCCGGAGTGTTGACAAGGGGAAAGTCAGTAGCAGCCCCCCTTTTCCCCATGTTCACTCTCTTTCAAAACATTTGGAGCAATTGATAATCCCAGCTCCTGAAAAACGAACCCCTATCAGTAGAACTGAGAGTTGCCACTTCCTTTCTAGCAATGGTGTTGACGCTAGTGGCTTGTACTGAGAAATAAGAGTGAAAATCATCTGCTAAAAGGGAAATCAATTTAAATTCATTTCTCTTTATTTGCTATTGTTCCAGTAACGTTAGGTGTTAGTCTCGCTAATCTCTTTCAGTTGCAACTTTCTCTGTATTTTCAGTTTTTGCTTAGTACATTTGACAGCACTTGGTAGAGGATCGGTTTCTCAGTTTCCCGTATATAGTCAGTTTCCTATGGGGTGTATACGTGTGTGGGGAACAGCAATCCGGGACAGAGAACGGAAAAGTGATTAGGAAACTGCATGCATAAAAAAACAATTTGAAAAATGCTAATTTGATGTTCTTCCCCTTCTCCTAATTCCCTTTTGCTTTTACTTTTTTTTACTGTCTCTTTAAATCTGTGAATGCATTTTGTGCTTAGAAGTTAGTGTGGCTGCATGAGTATAATTGGGGGCAGAATTTGCTTTTTTTTTTTTTTTTTTTTTTAAGGTACATTCTGACCACAATATGAAAGTCCTGTCCCTCAGATAACCACACTGTACTGCTCCATCTAGTCTTATTTAACGTGGATGGTGAACAACAGTGACCACAACTGATGGTCCCAGTCTTCCACTTGCTTAAGAGGAACCTTGTTTTCCTTCTGTGTCTGGAGGCTGCGGTCTCCTTTCCAAGTGGCACTGCTTTTTCACGCCTAGAGCTGATTACAACTATAGAAAATTAGGGTCAAGCAAAATAATTGAGGCAGTTTGGGGACCATATTGTGGGTGGGTGGCTTGGAGAATGAGATGGTGAAGCAGCATGTTTTAGGGACCTCTCTTTAGGCCCATAGTGCCACTTTTCAGTGCAAGGCTCAGAAAGCCCCGTCGATTTGCTCCTGTCTTAATCCACAGCACACAACTACAACGCCAATCCCGCTTTTTATGATTCCTGAGCGGTATTTCTGGAGGAGCCAATGTGGCCTCTCCGGTGAATGGATTTTTATTAGCTTCCTTTATAAAAGGATTTTGTCTTTACTGAAATTGGGTCCTCCCATCCTTTAAATGTTAAAGAAATAATGTCTGCAGCACAGCCACCCCCAACAAACCCAGGACATGTAGGGGAGCAGTGATGGCTTGTCCTTGTTCTCCCATGGCTGGGCCCGGGTTTCTCTTGCGATGGGGGAGTGTGGGATGGAAGGCTGGTTCGGCAGCACTCTGAATTTCTTGAGGTGCTCTGGTTGTCACAGCCTTCTCTCGTTGGACGTCTGTCCTCCCCCAGGGCGCTCCCTCTCCCCTGCAGTAATGTACTGCACATTGAGGGAATGAACAATTGTTAAACTCAGTAGAGTATTACCAAGTGTCTCGACCTTTAGCTAATAGGTTCAGTTTGAGAAAGTAACCACTTAACTATCACCAGCTGGCGGGCACCAACTTAATGCTGATGGCTGCAGATTGTTTGGATTAAAATTTATCTCTGGAATTTAACTCTTGCATTGCAGCTGACAAAGAAGAATCTCAGCTTTAGGGAGCCTGGGTGGGTGGGTGGTTGCTTTACTCCTTAATCTGCTAAATGAGGGACAGCTGCTTTAATTATCCTCTTTAAATCACTCTGCCCTTAGAGGGAAGCTGCCCTAGGCACACCCCACCTCTTTCTCCTCCGGGCGCGTCAGCATTTGAAAAGGCCCAGGTAATTCCTGCACTATTTTTGCAGATCTCTGAACAGCTTGTTCATTAGGTGGTTCGCTAGATGGGTCCCCAGATTGCACCAGACCTTAAACTGCTTCTTGCAACAAACCGCTTGCTCTGCATTGGACAAAGAGGGAGACTTGACAGAAACGAGTCTGGTGAGCTTTACTGTTGGGGGATAATTTTTATTTTTCCTTCTTTTTTAAAACTGGAGCCCTCGCTAGGACAGGAAATGAATCCACTGAGCCACCCAGTCTGCTGAATGCTGATATAAAGAACATATGGAAGAGGGCAGTGCAGAGGTGAAGTGGTTTAGCTATTGCAATCATGCATCAAGCTGATTGATTTGAATCCAAGATGATGCTGACATTTCAACTCAAGCTTTTTTCTATTCCCCCCCCCCTTGATGGCTGAAAGTTCAAAGCCAAGAAGAATCTCCTGGGAGAGGAAAAGGATCCCTAGTTTATTCAGGGGCTCAGCACTGCATTACCATTAGCCAGCTAGTGAAGACCCTTGTTTTACTTTACAAATCTGACATAGGTTTTTTTTTTTTTTTTTTTAAACTCAGATTTAGGATAGTAGCCAATAAGTATTTACCCTTCAAACAAAGTGATGACAGAGTATTTGGGACTGCTCCCTGCCTAGACTAACCCTCCACTGTTAGTGACACTGTTATGTCTTTAAAGGTATGTTTTAAAAAAAATTAATTAAAAAAAAATTAGGAAGTCCGTGATCCTGGTTCCAGTAATAGTCTGAATGATAATTAACTCTCTCTGGTCCTTTGCATTCTTTTAAATGCTCTTGAGATGAGCATATAACAATTTAATAGTAAAGTGACTTTTGTGTGTGAAGGATTCAAAACATTTATTAGTATTTGTGTTCTAGCACCCAGGAGCAAACAGCCAACCAACAGGGAGTAGAGGAAGTCAGAGAACATAGTAGAGGGGTGTATGAAAGTGAGCGATAGTTTGGTGTGTCTGGGATTTCTAAAGGAGCCTGAAGAAGTTAGGCTCCCAACTCCCTGCATGTATCTGAGAAAAAGGAAAACTCACCTACTGTTGAAACAAAGGCACTGCTGGGCTGGAATGTGAGAACCAATCTGCATCAGCAATGCCACACTGTGGTTCTCACTAGGGGAAGGGAAGACCAATTTATAATTAAACTGGAGGGAGAATTTTAAGCAGGCAGGATAAAGTTACATAGGCAAAATTTGGTTAGGACACCAGGATTATTACTCCTTCCCTCCCAGAAAGCTTTGAGATACGGGGTCAACATTTCATTTTTGCATCTCTTCTGTAAAAACACAGATAATTTTTAAAATGCTATGTCTGGGGTTTTTCTCTAATTT